GGTTGCGGACGGTTGCGGACGGTTGCGGACGGTTGCGGACGGTTGCGAACGGTTGCGGACGGTTGCGAACGTAGAAACAACGGATCGCGAACAAGGCTCTACCCCCAGACCCCCAAGAGTTAAACGAGAACCCTTCGCTACGCATTCGGGAACAAGTGAAGAAGGTGGAACCAACAGGGTTTTCCATGACATCCATGGTTTTCCGACTTCCTCCGCGTTCTTCATTCAGCCCGCTTGCTCCGTCGCAAAAATCCCGCCTGAGGGCTCCAGGCCTTGGTGACCTCTCCACCCTGCGCCTTCACAGCCTGACGGGACTGACGTGGTTGACACAAAGCAGAAAGCCCTTCAAGACTTCAAACACCGACAAAACCATGCAAAATCCGTGGGTAGTTTTTCTGGGTCAAATGTTGGGGTTTCTGTGATGTTAGCAATCCTGTCAGAATCTTAGGCTGGGCCAGACTCAATGGTCTGTACTCTCCATTGGCAACTGCATAATTCTGTTCGCTTGCTGCTGTGAACGCGAACAGTGATGTTTCTGAGGATGTGTGTGTGTGTGTGTCAGCACCTGTCTCCAAGGATGACCTGTATCCAAGGATTTTGCATAACCTAATTCACTTTGAGTGCACCGTCCATTACATGCAGAGGGATCAGGCTTCCAGTGACGAACCTGATCCACCGAAGCTGGGTCACTGGAAGGGAAGTGGTTGAGGACGCTCAACCATGTACCTGCATCGTGATACCACTCCACTTTTCGCCGCTGCTTGTTGGTGCCGTGTTTGTTCCGCACGATACCTCCCCCCAAACAATCCCCAGCCGACTGCAGCGCCTCGTTTGTCACCCAGTTGAAACGCAGTGTTGAAACATTTCCAATTCCACTGACTCCATCGCCTTTCCGTTGAAGCACCTTTCCGTTGAGTCAAGTCAAGGTCTAACTCTCAGTAACGTAAAGGGCTAGTGCGTCCGCGATCCAGCAACTGACTTAGCTCTTGCGAGCATCGATCTATGTGTGTGTACTCCTGTCCCTAAGGAGCACGACCACATTATATAACTCAGTCCACCTAGATGTTCTTAACTGTCCTCACCTTTGTACAGACATGCAGGGGGTCCAGGCAGTTGTGAGTTGTCCCTGGACCACGGACTCGTATTCAGTAACTACCTCATGGGAAGCTCCAAACTGATACAGCTCTTGCGAGCATGGATCCAAGTGTGTGTGTGTGTGATATTTGGAGTCACAGGGATGCTTTTGCATTTGTTTTACCGCAGGGGGACACGGCACCAGATTGCAGACCGTGTCTAACAAAGCTATGCAATCTGGTGGGATATCCAGCTTGGCCAGCTGGACGTACCTGCGATTTTCCTTCTCCGTATGGCAAGAGGCTAAGCCAAGAACCTCACTACCTGGTTTTCTTCAGAGCTTCAGTTCTTTTCTGCAGATGTGCACGAGCCGCCGTCAACCTGTTCGACTCGCTCGCCGCCTTCGACCTTACGCTTTTGGCCTCACTTCCTCTTCCAGACCCCAGGATCCGATGGTCCCTACTGGTTTTCTTAGGAAATGGAACCCTAGGCCGGCGTGTGGCACCGCATTCACATCAGTACGCATATCCATGAGTGTGTTTGGCTTCGTGCCAACCCGGGATGAGCCCGCAGAGTGCCTCCCGTGGACCCGTCGAACGGGTGTACGTCTCTGTTTCCTTTGCTCTGGAAACGTACGTGCCCACAGCGGGCAGCAGTTGGCTAATGCCGTACGTCCGATGATTTATGTCTCATTTTTGGAATTCCAAGCTGGCTCATGCCCTTACGTGACCGCAGCGGTCAAAGCAGCCAGCCATTTCGGCAAGGCACGAGGTGACCTGAGCGGTCAAAGCCAGTTTTAGGTTCATTGGAACCTGTTGGACACTTAGGTGCACATACATCGTACACACTTCAACGAGGCAGGTCTTCCTAGGTTGTTGTAATGAGGTTTGGTTTCATCGGTTCCCGTCCCCTCCATTTGGTTCCCCTTTCACCTTTTCCCCTTCACACACACTTCTTTTCCTCTTTCTTTTCATGTCTTCCCTTGCTTCATGTCCGTTCATCTCACTCCTTTCGTTCTTTTGCGCGTACAATGGTCCGGGCCTTAGTGTGTACGCGCACATCTACTTTCAACTCAGGTGTTAGGTCGCCCAGGTCTCGACAATGAGGTGGGCTCATCGGTTGTCCCTGTGCACTTGGTTTCCCTTTCATTGCAACCACACACAC